GCCTAATCTCAGTCAGTTCCCCTATGTGGCGATCTATGTTTAACGGTCTATTGATCCCTGTGCCATCACTATACTCGCTTCCCTGCTGCCACCAACCAGTTACTCTCTGGTAAAACACTGAGTCCAGTCAGTTGTTAAAAGTGAACCAAAACAAACAAGTTTATTTTACAAACATTAACGAGTTTATGATTTCTCAGATGATATTCCTGTCAGTATCTTAACTTTAGTTTCTTTACCGGCCTATACCTTCCTAATACTTTCTGACTGATTATCTCGACTGTCTTACACCAGACTTATCTTCTCTGTCTCTTCTAACTCCAGACTGTCTTCTCAACGACTCGAACTCCCTAAAAAAACCCCTCTGTGCTTAAACCTTATACACAGTTAACTCTGTCCCCTGGGTTCCCATTGGTTAGTCATTTTACAATTAGTTAACCCTTTCTCTATGAACCCTGTATGATGTCACACACATAGGAGGGCAAACGCCACACTGTCCTTCAAGGTTAGACTGTGTATTCCTTAGGACCGTGGTTTTCAACCAGTGTGCCATGGCACCCTGGGGTGCCTTGAATGATGGCCAAAGTGCCACAGGCAACACTGGCCTCTGTCCCTCTTTCTTTCCTTCCCTCCCTCCTCTGATGCCCTCTTTGCCTCCAAAAGGCTTGCACAGCTGCTTGTTGCAGCAGCCCTGGCTACAAGCTCCCCTGGCGAATGGTGCCTCTGAGACTGGTCAGGGGGTCCTGGTTGCCAGGAGCTGAGGTGGCCTCAGAGTAAGCAAGCAAGTGGACAAGGGAGGCAACTGGGCAGCTGGGCAGGCAGGCGCTGCACTGGCCTTTCTTGTGCTTGCTGTGCTCAAGGCCTGCCTGGGAGCTGAGTTCCCGATGCTGAAGGGGAGCCTTTCTGCCACGCAGGCCCAGCAGCACCCACTACTGCCTCCCAAGGCTGGCCTCTCATTCACCTTTGGCCAGTCACCGTTGGGCCACTAAGGATGGGGACATCCTCTTCCCAGGCCCCTGTGGGGCAGTGTGAGGAGGCACCTCTCTTTGGGGCAGGGAGGGAGCTCAGAGACCAGGGGGGTGGCAGCTGCTGCCCAGAGGACTCCCAAGGAGAGGGGAGGAGGCTGAGGGAACACTTCACAAGAGAGGGTGTTCAAGAAAGGGTGAGAGGCTGCAGCTCTGCAGGCAAGGGGTGACAGAACTGGGCTCCTGAGCCCCACAGGGGTGCTGCAGAAAGAATGTAGTTGGTCAAGGAATCAACTCTGGTATCAAGGGTTTTAATGTGACTGTGATTTGGGAATAGTGTGTTGATGCTCAAAGAAAAGGTAGCAGCAAGTTGTTGTTGATGTTGTTGTTGTTTAGTCGTTTAGTCGTGTCCGACTCTTCGTAACCCCATGGACCAGAGCACGCCAGGCCCTCCTGTCTTCCACTGCCTCCCGCAGTTTGGTCAAACTCATGTTTGCGTTGTTGTTGTTAATAGTTATTATATCCCGCCCATCTGGCTGGTTTTCCCCAGCCACTCTGGGTGGCTCACGGTACATATAAAAACATAATAAAACATCAAACAATAAAAACTTCCCAATACAGGGCTGCCTTCAGATGTCTTCTAAAAGTTTTGTAATTCTTTATCTCCTTGATATCTGATGGGAGGGCGTTCCACAGGGCAGGCGCCACTACCGAGAAGACCCTCTGTCTGGTTCCCTGTAACTTCACTTCTCACAGTGAAGGAACCGCCAGAAGGCCTTTGGAGCTGGACCTCAGTGTCTGGGTTGAGCGATGGGGGTGGAGACGCTCCTTCATGGCTATTGGGCCAAGGCCGTTTAGGGCTTTAAAGATCAGCACCAACACTTTGAATTGTGCTTGGAAACACACAGAAAATTTATTGTTTACTTTCTCCCCCACCCGCAAATGCTGCAGACATTCATGCCTGGGACTTTTAAGATGTCATTGTTGCCCACAGCAACTATGCAGCCCACAATTTAGGGAAGGGTCAAACATGGTGACAGAGTGCATGGTTTGGTCCCAGATCTGATCCCCAGCATCTCCAGGTAGGGTTAGGAACAGTTCCTTTCTGAAAACCAAGAGCCTGACTCAGTACAAAAGAGTTTCCTATGTTGAAGACCACATGGCACTTCCAGAAAGCTCTTTTAAAAAGAAAAAGAAAAAATGGGGTGCAGCAAAACACTTGCCTAAGGAGACTTCTTAAAAATCATGGATTGCTGTCTAATTTGGGACATGTGAAAGGGCAATGATGTTCCAAGTAAAATGGCAGTGAATGGCAGGTGCCTTGCAGAGAGAGAATACTCAATTTGTCGGCTCAAAGCAATAAAGAAAACCCAGGGAAATAAACATCAGGGTCAACAAAACCTTCGCATGTATATGCAAAGTCTGTTGCTCCCACTTTGAAGGCCACAAGCTGGCAAAGTGCTGGAAGGGGTGGTATAGATGCTAAAGTCTGCAAGAGCTCTTGCACGGTGTGCAGCAGAGGGGATTTCAGCAGGCTTGCCAGACGGATGATATTCTCCCTTCTGCACACCTGTGAAAGCTGTGCAAGGCTTGGCCTTGCTGCTTGTGCACAGGAATTTCCAGTTTCGATCCCTTGAAGATCTCAGCTGGAAGACCAAAAGAAGTCCTCCTTTGAAATCCCAAGAGAGCTGCTGCAGGCAAGACCGGCCTTCCTCAGCCTGGTTCCCTCAGTGTATTTTGGACAACAACTTCTATCAGAGCGAGCCAGCATGACAGCCAAGCTGATGGGAGCTGGGCAGCGCAGGAGACTGGGAGAGGCAGGAGTAGACCGCACTGGCTAATCAACACATTGGTCTATGGCAGCTGCCTATTTTCTTTTGCAAAATGTCTTGCAACCACAGAGGACGGATCTCAGTCAGTGTTAAAATCAGGCCAATGGCCCATTTAGTCCAGCATCCTGTTTTAGCAGTAGCCAATCTGTGCAAAACCTAGGAGCAGGATTCCAGGACAAGAGAGTTCTTCCCTCTTGTGGATTCCAGCAACTGATACTCAGAAACGCTGCTGTGTCGAACTGTGGAGGCATGGCACAGTTATTTTGGCTAATGGCTGGGTGTTTGTTTTTTCCCAGCTGGTGCTCACCGGAGCTCAACTCTGGCACCTCTCAGGTGGGCGCCATTGCCATTGTCAGAGAACGAGGGAGGCGTTCCTGGTGAGTTCCAGCACCTTTCTCTAGAAAACCAGCACCGGCTCATAGCCAGTGATAGCCCTCTCCTCCATTTGAAAAGTCTGCGGCTTGACTTCAGCCAGAAAAATCTGAAAAATCAGCAACGGCGTTGACAGTGAAGCACCTCCCTCGCTTCTGTGTTTTTGCTTTTCGCCTCTTCTTTTAACAATCCATACTATGAATCCAAAGTTCAGGTCACCACAGATGCTAGAGACCTTTAGCTGAAAAGGGGCCACAAATAAAGAACATGCTTGCTCTTTTAGCAGCCTTAGAACATGTTTTGTTCTTTCCATTTGAAGAAAGGCGCAGGGCTTGGGGGGGGGGAATTAAAAACAAACCCTGTGCTTGATACTAGGTCATCCTGACACAAAGCAGCAAAAGCCAATAAATCTTAATAAAGCTGATGGTTTAGGCTTCACATGACAGTATTTCCACATGTTTCTGAGCTGGGGAAACGGGGAAGGCTTCAGTTATTGGGGGCAGCAGACAGACCCTCAGCTAGAGGGATGGCAATGCAAGTCAGCTGTTTGCCGGAGGGAAGAGCTGGTCTGTTTAGTGACAAAAAGCCAAACCCCCTCCTGGTCTGCTATAAGCGGAGGTGGGGTAGGTTTGAACAAAATCTAAATAAATACAGAATTATTCACCATAATGAAACAAAAAGAAAGCCCACCTTCACAAACCCCCAACCTCAAAATTAACCTTCACAAGACTCCATGACTTCACCATAAGCTTTGAGTCATCCCCAACTTGGCGCCTGCCAGATGTTTTTGGACTACAACTCCCATCAGCCTGCACCTGAATTTTTGGGGAGTTGCAGTTCAAAACGCCCCGAGGGCACCAGGTTGAGGAAGGCTGCTCTAGACGAAGGTGATGAATTTGTATAGGGTGTGTGTAGGGTAGATTAACTGGCCTGAGGAAGTTTTCATGGGTGGTTACATCAAAGAGTCTTAGGGAGCTTATTTTTGATTTTGGGCTTTGTGAAAGCAGATGCTTATTTTTAATTAGTGTTTGCTGGAAATTGGTCAGTTTATTTGGGACAATGGAGGGCCGGAGTGGAATAGTTTTGCCCCACCCCTGGAGTTTTCCACGCTTAGTGGTAAGCCTCATCTTGCTTTTTCTTTCTTTCTAGAAGTGCCAACCCATTAAACTTTTTTGTCTGTTACAGATTGATCGTGTTTCGCTCATGCTATATTAGGCCACCGATGCAGACCTTTGTCTCAAAATGTGCCCGGTTTATGCTGAAATGTACCACATAGGATTTGGCCTATTCAGGACTGGCCACTGCAGTGTTTGTACATATGATAATTAAGTTATTATAATAAAGAATCCTTTAAAAAAATACATTTCCTCCTAACCTCAGATTTTGGTTGCTAGAGATTTGCTTGCTGTTAAGAGCCGTTTCTGCCTTGATTGTTTTGATGTACTGCAAGTCACATCTGCACTATACATTTGAAGTGGTGTGATATCACTTTAAATTCTCGTGGCTTCCCCCAAAGAATCCTGGGAACTGTAGTTTGTTAAGGGTGCTGAGAGTTGTTAGAAGACCCCTGTTCCCCAGTTCACAGAGGTACAATTCCCAGAGTTCCCTGGGGAGGGAGATTGATTGGGAGATTCCCCCACCCCACCCAAATATATGTATATAATCGCTGGTGCTACCATTGATTCTGACCAACACAGCCACAATTGAACCAAGAACCTAAACGTAATCCTAATATGTGAAAGTACCCTCATGTTTCTCTGGGCCACTGTAAAAAAATCACCACCACCCTCTGACCAGAAAGATAAATTTCAAAGTAGAGAAAGAATACATTTCCCAAGGTAGAAGACAATTTATATTTTATTTTCAACACATTCTTTGCATTTTATATACATATACACATATAGCCACGTGTTCGCACAAATGTATTAAAAGCTAAAACCTTACTACATTGCAGAAATTTAAAAATGAATAATATGAAGAGGGGAAATGTACAAGGTAACTTTCCGTTCTCAGAAAACAACGAAACAAAACTCATCTCTTGTTTATTCCTCAGGAGAAATTCAATCAGGCCTATTATAAAACATTTCTTATGACAAATATTGGTCATGATACCCTCCCCCCCCCCAAGAAAAACCTGTTGTAAAAGAATAGTAATAGGAGAAAGTTTTACCATAAGAACATTTGTGGAGCATTTGCAGATTTGAAGACATAAACCCGCAGGTGTTGGACACAGGCTAAAAACCCTGGCACTGCAAAATCCCAAACCCTGAACCAACTCACACAATTTTTTTAAAAAATGTACATTTGCTGGGTTTTATCTCTGCCAATGAGAGATGGGGCTGGGCTGGGGAGAGAGTAGAGGCAGCCAAGAGAGACAGCATTTCACTTTTTATGAAAGAGGAGCGGCTTCACCATGCCTGCCAGAATCTTGGGTAGTTGGGCAGCGATCACTTCCGACATCATCTCCGGAAAGTCTACACTCAGCGCCCGAGATTGGAGGAAAGTATTCAAGCAGTAGAGATGGAGTTGTTTCACAAGCTGTATTTTTTAATTTTTTACAAGAAAATCAATAATTTAAAAAATCAATAAATTATCCAAACAATGCACGTTGTTCTTCACTCTGCCTCCCCCCACATCCCATAATTGCCCGATACTTATGAAGCTGTGTGCAGTGCAGAAAGTTATATTTTCTCTCTCATCTTCCCTGCTTCTCACAATCTCATCCTCATCCCACTTCATGGCAGGAGACAAAATGACAGGTGAATATTTCTAGGTGACCACTAAGCTACTGTGACAATGTGAGAATGAGACCCAGTGATTGGGTTGGGAATGAGCCAATCTGTGAGTTTCTCTTTCCCTCAGTTTCTCAACCCCCCCCCCATCTTAATTCTCCACATTTCCACCCCAGTTTGCAGGGTATTTCTTTTAAATCCTTATGAAAATTCACCGGCATTTTAGTGCAAATTGACCCTTAAATATACACAGGTTTGTACGCATTTTTTCCTAATGTACACATTTGTGCAAAGCCATTTTCCCTAAAATAATACATTTGGGTGTTATTTTCATGTATTTTATATACACTTTCCCCCAATACATGCATATCTGTGCACATTATTACTGGGTTAGAGAAATGCATTGCAAAATTTGGGGGGGAAGTGTAGATCTTGAAGGATGGCTGTGTTTCATAGCTCCTATTTTTTCAGAAAGTGCAAATTAAGTTGGTTTGCCTTTAAGTGAGAACTCAAGCCTAATTTCCTCTCCACCCCTACTAGCAAGGAGAAAATGATTGCATAATTGCATATATATATATGCACATTGCTATCCTAAGCTTGGCTTCAGATTTCTTTTGGGGGCAGGGGTGAAGACACATAAATGTGTAAATACTGCATTTTTCGCTCTATAGGATGCACTTTTTCCCCTCCAAAAATTAAGGGGAAATGTGTGTGCATCCCATAGAGCGAATGCAGGCTCCTTGGCTTCAGCGATAGCAATGCGAAGTCTCCGAAGCGCAGAGGGAGCGCTCCCTGCGCGGTGCGGAGGCTACGGTTGCTTTCACTGAAGCCTGGAGAGCGAGAGGGGTCGGTGCGCACCGACCCCTCTCGCTCTCCAGGCTTCAGGGATAGCCGCCTGAAGCCTTTGGAGCGCAGCGGGAACTCGCGCTGTGCTCCAAAGGCTTCGGGTTCCTTTTGCTGAAGCCGGGAGAGCAAGACTCTCCCGGCTTCAGCAGAGAGGGAGAGCTGTGCAGCGCCCCTTCAGCCAAGCGGGAGGAGAAATGGAAGGGGCTCCGTTTCTCCTGCCACTTCACTGAAGGGGCGCTGAGCAGAAAGGGGGGGTTTCTTGTTCTCCCCTCTAAAACAAGGTGCGTCCTATGGTCAGGTCCGTCCTATAGAGCAAAAAATGTGGTGACAGCATATATCCTAAAGACAAAACAGTCTCAGCTGACCTTCATTCCAAGGCAAATGAACCCTGGGCAGGAGCTTCGAAGCCTTGGAGTCTTTCACTGTAACAGTAAGTGTGTGACAGTAAGATAATCTTATGGATTGCTGAAATAAACTTACATCGTGCATGGAGTCCATAAGTTTCGTCAGCTGATAGAAGCGTTGCGAACTAGCCACGACCCCTTTCTGCCGCAGCCCGATTGCCTTGACCAGCTCTCTGATGTAGTTTGTTCTCATCTCCTCGAAACTGGCTTTGGCTTCTGAGACCTTCCAATGGAACTGAAAGAGGGAGGGAAAGACAACACACATTGTTTTGCTTTGTCTCCCCGCCCCCCGTTGCTCAAATTCTGAAATAAAGCAAAAAGCGCATTCTCGTCCTCTCTCAGGGGTTGTACAGATTCACAAAGTTACCTGGGTATGTTGGACAGAGTTTGAAGCAGATAAAAAAGGTAAAGGACCTCTGACAGTTAAGTCTTGTCACAGATGACGCTGGGGTTGTGGTGCTCATCTAGCTTTACAGGCTGAGGGAGCCGGTGTTTGTCCGCAGACAGTTTTTCCGGGTCATGTGGCCAGCAAGACTAAGCTGCTTCTGGCGCAACAGAACACCGAAACCAGAGCAGCGCATGGAAATACCGTTTACCTTCCCGCCAGAGCGGTACCTATTTATCTACTTGCACTACTATGTGCTTTCGAACTGCTAGGTTGGCAGGAGCTGGGACCGAACCACCGACCTTCTGATCAGCAAGCCCAAGAGGCTCAGTGGTTTAGACCACAGCGCCACCCGCGTCCCTCTGAAGCAGATATCCAAACTCAAAGTTCGTCACCAAATTAACCATGTTTGATCAGAGTTTGGGCGGTGGGTAGCAACTGGAGGCTGGGGAGATTTGCATGATGGGTGAGGCTGATGGGGGGGGGATTTCCCTCCTAATGCTTTACTCTTATTCACACTTGTGTGCTCATCCTCATGTGTTTAAGGGCAGAAAAGGCGGTGCACCAGAAACATGAAACTGCTTCCTTGCCCACTTCTGCGATGTAGTGATGGCTACCAGCTTGGATGACTTTACCAGACACATTCATGAAGGATAAAGCTATCAATAGGCACTAGCCATGATGCCTCTGTCCTGCCTCCAGCGCCAAGGGCAGTATACCTCAGAATACCACTTCCTAGGAATCACCTCTGAGCTACAGTCCCTAACCGTTAAGTTATGTCCCTGCGGTCCTTGAAAAGTCAGCTTTTTGTTTTCACCCAGGCAGTTGGATGGAGCATACATAAAATGTGCCATGTGAAGAAGAGGAAGAGGAGGAGGAGGAGGAGGAGGAGGAGGAGGAGGAGGAGAGAAGAAGAAGAAGAAGAAGAAGAAGAAGAAGAAGAAGAAGAAGAAGAAGAAGAAGAAGAAGAAGAAGAAGCTGTGTCTTACTTGTATTGAGAAGGAGCAAGGCTTTCATGCAGAGATACTCTTCACTGCTTACTTGCAGCTTGACAAACTCTTGGGGTATTTGCCACATGGTCAGGCACAGTGAATAGAATGATGAGTCCTTCATCCTCTGTCTTGCACCCAGAAAACAAGAAAGAAACTTAAATAAACTTAAATAATAAGTCCATGATTATTCCGTGTACAAACCTTGGAACCAAGCGTGCTGGGTATCTGATCATGACTTTTTCTTACTAACAAGTTTGTTGTCATACAGATAAAAATAAAATAAAAAGTTAGCCTTTCAAGAAGGGGGTGTGTGTGGATGAGCTTGGAAGCCACAAAGGCTTCGCTTTAAAAAAAAAACTTTTTTTTTTTGCCAATTACAGCAGTATAAAACAACACAGTGTCAAATATCTCATGTGCTGATATTACGGCACATGACTGGAAATAAGTGATAAGCATTAAAATCTGATGATCAGTAAGTAAAACAACTAACTGATATAGCCCCTCCAAAACCCAGTATGGGTATGTGAAGGTTGTGAACTCTCAAGCAAAGTGTTTGTGACAATTACCATTCAAATCTCAATTCTGCCATGAATTGACTCAGTCGCTTTATACACTCTTTTGGTTTCAGTCACCCATGTGTAATTCTTGGCAATTCCCTCCTCCAATCAAAAATGGATTGGAAGAAGGCCAATGAACTGAAGCTCGATCCAGATTTGATGGAAGTACTATGGATGGCTCCATCTGGACTGCATGGCGTTGCTCTCCCCTTGAAAGATCAGGCTCACAGTCTAAAGGAACCATCAGATTAGTCTTATCTTTAAAGGTCCATGTGGCCTTTGGGTTTCGAAGCACCCATCATCACCATCGCCAGCTGTGACCCCTCCTGGAGAGAGGGAGTCTTGCATGCACTGCCAGCATCTTGCATTGACTGCCGCCATGCACTATATGTGGGGCTGCCTTTGAAGACTATTCAGAAACGGCAGTTAGTGCAAAACCCAAGAACAGCACCTGTTTTATCTGGGTCTGGTCCTATAGAAGGTGTCATGCAAGTCTGAGAACACCTGAAGTAGCTTCTGGTCCAAGCACAATTCAAAATGCTGGTTTTAACCTATACACCCTTAAACTGTTTGGGAGCATGAACCTATTTATTAGCATCAGTCTCCGATCAGCTGCTCCTTGTTCACCCTCCAATGGAAGAAATGTGGGTGGTGATCAGAGATGGGACCTTTCCACTCATGGTACCACATTTATGGAACTCACCACATCAAAAATATCCACCCAGTCCTTCTTTCTTTCCTTTTTCTTCTTTTCTTTTTTACATTCATTTTTTTAAATTTAATTTTCTTTCATTAGACAGTTACATATTCCAATCCATGCTTTAACATATATTAAATATAAAACAAATCCAAACAATATCCACATCACTGCGGCATCTTCTATCCTATTTTCTTTTCAGTTGTGTTGATTATTATCTCATTTAAACACAACAAATAACTTACCTATCTGAATTTTTACTTTGCAAAATTTATTCAATACATATCAAGGGTTTGATTTGGGAACAATATTTTGCCAGATATTCTTTCCCACTTTCCCACTCTTTTTAAAAAGTTTTTGGTTTGATTGTTGCCTAATTATCGGTGGCATTTTAGCCAATTCCAGATACTCACACAGCTTATTTTGCCAGTCTGCCTTTGTTGGTACCGTAGCCCCTTTCCAATTCCTGGCAATTAACATTTTGGCAATCCGGTCCTTATTTTCTTTTGGCACCAGGTGGAAACATTTTTATTCACCCGGGCTTCTAAAATACTGCATCTATTTTAACCTCCTGTTATATTTACCTACCGCTGCAGGTAGCTGGAACTGGCATTACTTAATGCATGCAATGTTTAGAGAGCAAGAGCAGGTGAATAACACAAGAGAAGCTGGAATCCTTTACTTACTCATTCAGTATTAAGTCAGGTGCAAAATACAGCATCTGCCCACAGACATGCTTATAAGACCTCCATCCCATGGCAAACACCATTAGGCTCATCCAGGAGTACTGGATAAGGGTTATCTGATCATCAATGTGTAGGCCCCGGAATCCTGGAAAAGTGGAGAGGAGGAGGCAGGTTAACAACGTGAAAAGGTGCCTTTTACCATATGTGGTGGGCTTGAAGAAAGTAAAATGTTTCTGGGAAATGATATATAATGAGATGAAGAAAATGTTGAAATATACATTTGTGAAAAGACCAGAAGCATTTTTACTTGGTATGGAAGGACAGAAATTAATAGACAGGATAAAAACTTGTTTTTATACGCAACTACAGTAGCGAGAGTACTATTAGCCCAATGACGGAAACAGGAAGAATTACCAGTGAAGGAGGAGTAGCAAATAAAACTGATGGAGGATGCAGAGCGGCCTCGGTCCTGTATACCTGAGGGAGCGTCTCCACCCCCATCGTTCAGCCCGGACACTGAGATCCAGCACCGAGGGCCTTCTGGCAGTTCCCTCATTGCGAGAAGTGAGGTACAAGTGAGGTTACAGGGAACCAGGCAGAGGGCCTTCTCGGTAGTGGCGCCTGCCCTGTGTTATGCCCTCCCTTCAGATGTGAAGGAAATAAGCAGCTACCCTATATTTAAAAGACATCTGAAGGCAGCCCTGTTTAGGGAAGTTTTTAATATTTAATGCTGTACTGTTTTTAACACTTGATTGGGAGCCGCCCAGAGTGGCTGGGGAAACTCAGCCAGATTGGCGGGGTATATTATATTATTATATTATTATTATTATCATCATCATCATCATCATCATCATCATTATTATTATTATTATTGGCAAAGTTGACTGGGAGAATTCGGAACCAGAAAGACCAGGACTTCCTTAAGGATTGGAAGAAATATATGCCTTATTTGAAAGACAACTGCATTAATGTAACATCGCTTGTCGGTTTACAAGAAGTTTTGTAAGGAGGACTATATAAATTATTGTAAAATGATTTAGGAAGGAAATAATTAGGAGACGAAGTTTAAAAGCACTAATGATAATAATAAAATGCAAGATCAGATAACAAATTTGAAAATCACTAGACAGCATTGACGGAAGTCACAGGCTATAATAGCCAAAATGAGGATGATGTGATGTGAAGTGAAGTTTTGTTTGGGAAATATATGCAAAAACTAATAAAAATGATTTTAAGAGAAAAGAGAATTTGCAGCCCTTCTCATTTCAAAAGGCATCTGGCACAGAGGGTCTCAAATTATGCAGGTTCGGCCTATGCAATCTTCTTACTGTGGACAAGCTGGGTTTGCATTAATATGCTCAGCAAATAAGAGAAGCACACATCTCCTCTCCCCGCAGCCACCTTGCTGAAACAACGATTAAAGCAATGCTGAGAAAGGCACAGGCGTTGGAAGCCCTGAGGGCTATAGGAATGCAAGAATAACCAGGCCATCTGGTGCAGCCTCCTGCTCTCTCGGTGGCCAGAGAGATGCCCTTATGGGATGCTATGGCACCGTCCCCATTTGTCGATTCCAGCAACTAGTATTCAGCAGTATGCCATCTCTGGTGGTAGAGGAACTGCAGGGTTTACCTCGCCTGGACGGTTCACTCCCGCAGAGATCGCTCCATGGGCTGGATCACAGCCCAGACACAATTTCCGGCACCATGGAAGTGAGTCCCCGCTCCGCGCTGCATCTGTTTAGCAGCATGCGGGGACTCGCCAAGTGGGCAGCTCGGTTTGGGGGCAGCTCGTGGGCCATTTAAACGACCCCCATGGACTGCTTGTGGCCCATGGGCCATTGTATAGTCTGTCTTTCGATAGCAACCAACAGGTGGGACAGTGAAGTAGATACGTTGGAAATTTATTGCATGGGAAAATATGGAAATATTCCTTCATTAAAATAATACATATAATGGAGTAAACGGTTTTTTTAAAACAACAACAACCAAGCAGCACATCCATTCACCAGACGTTATCCTGTTCAACCTGAGCTAAAATAGAATGGATGCTTAAAAACCAATGTGGAAATGTGGTCACAAGGGATTAGATCTAGGTTTAAGCCTTGCCCATGAATTGCTCCAAGGGATTAAATGAATGTTTAACCTGCCTTTCCTCATATGAACTTGCCTGAACCCTCAGAGGTGCCGCCTCCATGAGAACAAAAGCAGATCAAGCCATGTGCTGGATCAAGCCACGGGCAAATTGGATCCAGAATCCTGTTCTCACAGGGACCAATCAGATGTCTGGAATTCCTTTTCATTTCACAACAGCAAGGGGAACAGAGTTGTCTAACCAGAAGACAGTATGAACAGAGGGCAGATCCACACCACCCTGGGAACTGCAGTTTGTTAAGGGTGCTTTGTGAGTGTGAAACTACAGTTCCTAGAATTCTTTGGGGGAAGCCATGTGGTTTAAATATACTTTGGATGTGCTTTAAATATATGGTGAAACATCCTATCGGTGTCCTATTAAAGCATCTGAACCATTTATTTATAGAAGTATTACTTTACCACCATATCATGAAAAAGATCAGGGTGGTGAACAGTGTCAAATCCTTAAACCCTTCAAAATTAAAAATACAGATAATCATTAAAATGGCTGGCTAAGCAAAATAAAAATTAAACAACTTCACAGGCCTGTTGGCATAATAATGTATTCAAGAGAAATATCAAAGCAGCAGGGGGAAAGCTGTGGATAGGGCACATGAGATAACTTAATATCTATCTTATGTGTTATTGCGGCTGATTTTTATTATTATTATTATGTTATTATCATTTTTACAATGCCTACATTGTCTTATACCAAGCCAATTGGTTCATTTAGCGCAGGATTGCTAACAAGTCAAACAACCTATACCATCACAAATTTCTTCCTAATGTTTAGTTGGAATCCCTTTCCGGTAATTTGAAAAGCTTGGCCTGAATCCTACCCTCTGAAGCGGCAGAGAACAAATTTTCTCTATCAAATATTTGAAGATAACTATTGAACATCCTTCCCCCAGGCTGAACATACCCGATTCTTTCAGTCCTTCATCATAGGACTTGGTCTCTAAGTCCCTCCCCATCTTTCTCACCTACTTCTGGACCACATTCTAGTTAGTCGATTTCCTTCTTAAACTGTGACTCTCAAAACTGGATGCTATTCTCCAGATAAGGTCTGAACAAAGCAAAACAGAGTGGTACTGTTACCCAAACCGTTACCTGGTAATGACTTGGACCACTTGACTACACAGAGGAGCTGCCTCTCACATAGTTGATTGAGGCTGGTCAACAAAGCACTTGGGGTTTCTGGTTGTGTGTTGTCATATCCTGCATAGACCACTTCCGGTTCGATGCTCTCCAAGACATTGATCAATGGAGGAATAAGCTGGACTTCTTGTGCTGGCGAAAAAGAGAGCCTTTGTGCCAGGGCTTGGCCGTCCTTAGGAAGGGCTACCGATGGCTGGAGTGCAACATCTAATGCTCTCAGCACTTTGAGCTTATTGAACTTCTTAAACTTTCGACCTGCAATCCAAAAACACACATCTAAGGGGCAGCGAACAGAAACAGAAATGCAAAGCAGATAAAAGCACCATATAAGAATGCATACTTAATTCAATAAGCAGCTTTTTGTACAATCGCAATGTCGTACGCAATGTCGTATGCGCAGCTAATATTGGGAACTGGCGAGATCAGAGTACAAACCAACTCTGCTTTAAAGTTCTTAGCTAATGATGAATTGGTACCATGCTGAGCTCGCCACCACCTCACCCTCCTGGTAAACAGCAGCAGAGCAACTGACCAAAGGTAAGGTAAGTGGAGAGACTTCACCTTCTGCTACTGCTGAGACTCCACTCATAGTTACTGTATTTTTCCGTGGATTGGACGAGGTTTTTGGACTCAAAAATCACATTAAAAAACTGAGGTCGTCCAACACACAGATAGTGGCATGGGGGGGGGAGCAGGGTGCTGCCAGCCATCCAGTTGATGGGAGCGTGACTTCCCCCGATGCCGCAGTGAGGGGGGAGCGATCTGGTTGGTGTTTTCTGCCCGCAGTTGCATGGGGGGGGGGGAAAGCTGCGCGCCGCCAGCTAGCTCGTTGGTGGGAGTGCAACTTCCCCCAATGCCGCTGCACATGGCGGGCACTCCCTGGATCCCTTCCCCCACGTGGCAGCAACAGGTGAGGCTGCGCTCCCACCCCCCGGGCTATCTCCCCTCATTTTCTTAAAATTGGGTCCCCCAAAATAGGGGGGGGTCTTATACATGGGGGCATCCTATAGCTGGAAAAATATGGTAGTTTGGCCACCAAAGCAACCCCCTTCATTCTCTGTTGTAACTTGTGGTTGCCAGGAGTCTGAGAAATGTAGCAATGACCCCCCAAGCCTTGGAAACTTGCAATTCTCTGCAATCATGGTACTGAATCAAGGCTGCCTTCTATCACTTCCAGCTATGTTTTGCAGAAAAAGAAGAGGGCAGCAGGGGCATTACGAGAGAATCATAGAAACACAGAATTGTAGAGTTGGAAGGGACCCCAAGGGTCATCTACTCCAACCCCCTGCAATGCAGGAATCTCAACTAAGGCCTCCTTGGTAGATGGCCATCCAACCTCTGCTTAAAAACCTCTGCTTTAAAGGAAGGAGAGTCCACAACCTCCTGAGGGAGTCTATTCCACTGTCAAACAGATGTCAGATCATTCTTCCTGATGTTGAGTTGGAATCTCCTTTCTTGTAACTTGAAGCTATTGGCTCAAGTCCTATCCTCCAGAGCAGGAGAAAACAAGCATGCTCCTTCCTCCATGTGACAGCCCTTGAGATAGTTGAAGACGGCTGTCATATCTCAGTCTCTTCTTTTCCAGGCCAAACGTACCCACCTCATAAGGCTTGGTTTCCAGACCACTGAGGTTGCCCTCCTCTGCACCCATTCCAGCTTATCAATTTCCTTCTTACATTATGGTGCCCAGTAAAATGGCACAGAAAGGCAAAGTTTCCGGGGCTCATAGTGCTCCATTGGGCAGGTATTTAAACAAGGGATCTCCAAGCTTATTGTGTGCTGGATGCCATCACTCAATGCAACAAGACTTGGAGCTGAGCATAGGTCCAAGCATACACCAAGCTACTTTGGGCCTGCTATAAAAATGAATCTGAATCACCGCATTTTAGGTGAACAAGTTCCAAGTCAAGCTGGAGATGGTTGCCTGTTATTAAACTTAAACATTTTGGGTCTGTTGTTGCCTATGGAACCAACTAGGTTTGGGATCAGAGACACTATAGCTATGTAATATCATGAACCACATCCTGGATCATCTTCTGCTAATTTAGGTTTATAGTCTGCTGTGCCCCATAGACTCAAGGCAGGTTATAGCAATAAATAGGCAATTCTCACCCTTGCCCTGGTCTAGAACAGGGGTGTGGGCTGAATGAGATCCACTAGGTCTGTGAAGCCGTTTCAGCCTAGCCACGGCCACCTGCCCTACAATCAAAGATAGGGCTTTGATAAAAGGGACTTTGCAGGCATTGCCAATGGGTTGCCTGCAAACAAACTGATTGTTGGCACTTGGGAAGCCCCATGCAAAGGGTGTTGCAACTGCTGACTGTTGCTACAAGCTCTGTTTCAAACTGCATGGGCAAAAATGGGTCACCAGGTGTCACTGTAATGTCAAGTGATAGAAAGGTGTGCAACCTGCCAGCCATATGCAGTGCACCAACCCTGGCCTAGAAAGTTGTGTCTGCTTATTTCATCACTTTGCTCCTGTGATTTTCCATGTTAAGGGGGCTGTCAACAGGGTTTCCCCACTCCCCCAGCATAAAATAACATGGAAATGAGTGCTAAGCAAGCACTACATTCCATTGCTTTTCCAGAAGTGGCTGGACTTTCATGTGAAAGTTCAAATATAATGCAGAAATTAACAGTATGGGGAAATGTAGGGGAAAGGGGATCAAATGCTGTACGAATGCAGCCCTAGAAGAAGGGAAAGGGATGCTTCACAGAATGGAGGAGGGTGCAAAATAACAGGCTAGAAAGCAATTGGGCAGGGAAATATTATGAGCACTAATTGCAATAAATGGATGCACAATAGGTATCAAATCTTTCCTTTGAATAGGGAACCTAATGAGTGCTAGTTAGATCCAATGGATGTGAAATAGTATCTGCACTGTATCTGGTTTCTATGCCTTTTAGTTGGTGAAGAAGAAGACTGTGCTGTCCATCAGACTGGGTTGCCCCAGCCACTCTGGGCGACTTCCAACAAATTAAAACATTAAACACCATGGGGAATTAAGTCAGATTTCTGTGACTTTTAGGCTGCAATCTACACAATGCTTTTGTGGGACCAAGCCCCACTGAATACAGCGGCACTCAGTGGCACTTACTTCTGAGTAAACCTGCAGAGGTTTACAATGTGAGGATGGAACACAGCACGGTGATGTTAGGATTTAAATTTCATGCGAAGTCAGCATAAGCATGCAATAAATGGGGAAATTTGCTTCTTCCCTTTTGCAGAAGTATGTCAGAAACATGGAGCAGCTTTTGAGGCAATGTGGAAATATCCAGAGAAAAACATAAAGTGTCCCCCAGATCCATATTCTGCATTAGACAACATTTGGTGTTTGTCTTCTCTGGACCTTAGGAGTAGCACTGGAGGAAAAGGCAAGGGATGATCAATAGTCTGTTTGGTGTCCTACAGAACTATTCATACCTAATTCTCGATTTAGATTTATTCCACTTTCCCCAAGGGTGTGGAAGAAAGTTGGAAGAGAAGGTACCAAGCTGTGCTAGACAATTCACTGCAAACAGACAAGTTTCTATGAAGAATGCTTCACCAAATAAGTAGGTGAAAAATGTTGACGATTTATTATTTCCCGACAGACTACCATAATTCTGCCTCCAAGGTCACTCTGCCCTCTTAGTTCTCTATGTACTCCAGAAGGAGTGGGCCCAGCCTAGAGAACAAAGCAGGGGTGATAGATCAAGATTTCAAAGACAAATTTGAAGTAACATCTTGTGAAAAATCTTACTTGCAAAAGGATTTCATTTTTTCCCCCTCCTGAGATGTGACATAGATAAGATAGCTGTTAAGTTTATTGAAAAGGGACACGAAGGGGCTCATCGTACTAGATTCTCCAGTGGTTAGTAACAGGTAGAATAATTATTTAGCCTCCACTACGCAGTTCGAAAGCACGTCAAAGTGCAAGTAGATAAATAGGTACTGCTCCGGCGGGAAGGTAAACAGCGTTTCTGTGTGCTGCTCTGGTTTGCCAGAAGCGGCTTAGTCCTGCTGGCCACATGACCCGGAAGCTGTACGCCGGCTCCTCGGCCAATAAAGCGAGATGAGCGCCACAACTCCAGAGTCGTCCGCGACCGGACCTAATGGTCAGGGGTCCCTTTACCTTTTACTAGGGATAGGCAAATTTGTCAATTCCTGCTTCTCTCAGCTTCTCATTTCTCCACCCTTTAGTTTTCCACATCTTAACATCGGTTTGCCCATTTGCCTGTAACAGTTCCTCATGAAAATTCAGCAGCACTTCTGCATGAACTTCTCAGAGTGTTCATTTGTATGCCCAAAATGCATTATTTTGCAAAGCCATTTCCCCTAATGTCATACCTCGTGTTGCGTTCCACTCTCGTTACGGACTTTCAACTTATAAACGCGGCAAACCTGGAAGTGTTTACTTCCGGGTTCGCTGCCTGCACATGCGCAGAAGCGATCTGCGTGCTTCGTGCATGCGCAGAAGTGATCTGCACGCCTTGCACATGCACAGAAGCACTCGATTGCGCCATACACATGTGCAGAAGAGGCGCTCTAGTTACGGACTTTTCGGGGTGCGAACGGCACCCCGAAATGGATTAAGTCCGCAACTAGAGGTACCACTGTAAAATGTATTTGTGTATGTTATTTTATGCACACTTTACCACAGTGTAGGCATGTGGGGGGGGGCGCACTGCTTGCCTGAAGAAATGCATTGAAAAGTTAAGAGAAGTGCGGATTTCGAAAGACGGCTGCATTTCGTAAAGTGCAAATTGGGGAGGTTCACCAACTGAATTGCCTTCCTCTCCCTTCTTGGTGCACTGCTAGCCACAAGGAGCCTTAATGCCATCCTCACTCTCTCCCACGCTCAGCCCAGCCCAAAAGAGAAGCATTTTACAGGAGAAAAGGCGAGGCTTAATCCCCATGAAAATTCGTCAGCACTTCTGTGCAAATTTTTCCTAACGTACACATTACAGTATGCAATCTTCCCTTGCGTTCATGGTTGTTTTTTGTTTTGTTTTTTTGTAAGGCTATTTCCCCTAATATAATGCATTTGGGGATTTATAAAAAGCTAATATATGCATTCATACGCATTGTTTACCCTTAGTAAATGCATTTTATACATTGGCTGCAGGACTGCACTGAAAAATTTGGAGAAATGTGGATTTCAAAGGATGGGTCCCTTTGGCTTACATATTCTATTGGAAAGTGTAAATTAAGTAGGTATGCCTTTAAATGTGAACTGAATCAAACTTCTTCCCCATCTCCATTGCCACACTCC